GGAGACGTCCGAATTCCGCAATAAACAAAAGGCCTTCAAATACTTTAAAAAACCGGTTAAATAGGCTACCCTCGGTAAAGCAATTAAAAAAGGGATTCGATAAATCAGCCCTCGAATAAATAAAAGGCTTCGATAATATCAGCCTTCGAAAAACTCCAAGGGGTATCAAATTATCTTAACACAAACATGTTGAGACACAAAGAAAAATGGGGTTCGATCATCAAACCCACAAAAAACCCTACGTATATAAAAAAACACATGCTAAGGCATAAAGAAATTTTCACTAAGTCTTTTAGCCGAAAAAGAAAAAATAATAGCCATTTTTGAGGCCAAATCGGCCCAATCTAAAGAGCCTAAGGGCCAATACAAAGAGCCTAAGGGCCAACACAATTTGAATTCGAGACCTTGTTCTCACTCGATTCGGACCCAAGGGTTCCGCTAACCCGAGCTCGAATAGAGTCAATTATAGCTCGAAGTTTCACCGAAAAACCCTAAGGAGTATACTACTATAAACTCAAAACTTACCCATCATTTAATGGAAGCCTAAGGGTTTGCTTTATCCTAAGTTCAAAATTCGTTCGAACTTGCCGATAAAAATGATACGGTCAAGTCACCCGAAATTAAGTCTCGAACATATTCCCGAGCTCGGGGACTTACCCTCATCTAACTAAAAGGAAAACCTGAAGGCCCACTCCGAATTCGAACCAAGGTTCACTCGGTTACCCATCACTTGGTGAAAATCCAAGGGTTGTTTTATTTTAAGTCCGGAACTTGCTCTCTAAGATAATATAGCAATGGCATCGATAAACCCATCCGAAGTCTCGACGTATTGTTAGCTCGAGGATTCGTTTTTAAAACCTAAGGGTTTCAGTTAAAATTTTCATAAGGCAAAGTGGAATCTACCACGAATCAGAGACAAACTAGAGAAGAGACTTGTTATTTACAGAAAATTCTTACAAGGGCCACACAGGGTCTTACACAAATAAGATACAAAAGAAGAAAATCCTAAAGGCCTAATCCATCCCCGGGAGCCACATCTTCAAGAGCCACTTCTTCGGAGGCCTCATCCCCATCTCCTTCGCTCTCGGACCTGCTGACGGAGTCTTCATCATCAGAGAGTAAGGTTGCGGCCTCATCCTCCAAAGCTTTTGCATTCTCGATATCAGCTGAGAGGTCGAAACCACGAGTATGTACTTCCTCGAGAGCTTCTCTCTGAGATTGCCGCCCAACATGATCGAGAGCACATGACAATCTAATTTCGGCAGTAGCAGAGATCTCCTGTGCCCGAAGATTGGCAGCCTCGGCATCAGCTCGATAAGAGGCCACAAACACCTCTGCCTCAGCCTTAGTCTTTGCAAGCTCGGAGGCCAACTTGGCCTCAACCTCCTCGATCCTCCGGGCCTGGGCCAGACTTTCCTCCTTCACACTCTGGAGTTGGCGCTCGGCTGAAGTCAATTGGGCCCGAAGTGCATCCTTCTCCGAGGCAAGATGCTCCATATGTTTTCTCCACCCAAGGTTTCGGCCTCCTTCACCTTTGCATCCTCTCGAAGTTGTTCCACCAGCTCACACTCTTGTTGAACCTGCAAAACCAAAAAGTTAATTGCCAGAAATAAAGTTACCACATAACATGAGCTCAAGAAATTACATTACTCGTTCGATGAGTTCGGTCTGATCTCGATGAGCTCTTATGAGTTGAGCTCGGGGGGTCATAATCTCCTCTTCCTTTTGAACGTAGAGGAGTTTGAGGCCATCCCTCCCCTCCACGAGTCTCTTGAGCTCGGCCTCACATCGGGATAGCTCAGCCCGAAATTTGGTAGATGCTTCTCGGTGGAGCACCATGGCCTGTACACAAAGAAGAGAGTCAGGTTTGAAAAGATATGGAATAAACACAAGTGTAAATACGAAGAAAGGGAACTTACTTGTTTTAGGAACCGCTGAGCCTCGTCGAAAATAAATGAAGCATCCGGGTCAGGACCATCCTCGACCCCTGCAAAGCAGTCCCGGAATATATCGTTCCCTTCGTGGGCCGGCCCCACATCGGGAGTCTCCATGGGCCGAGCCTCTTGGAACTTCCCTTCGGAGAATGTGGGGCCAACCGGCGAATTACCGATGTTGATTATCCCAAGAGGGTCACTTGGGATATTATTTTCCCTTTGAAGGGCCTCGGAGCTAGACCCTTCAAGCACACCCATCGGTTGTTCATCACGACGGGTGGCGTCCTCACCGCCCGATTGCTCGGGGACCTTGCTCGGATCTGCTGCCACGGTGCCTTCGATCCGAGATTGAGCCGCTTCGATAACCACCGGCTCCGCAGAGTCAGTGCTTCCTCTATTTCGAACTACCATCTGGCAGTCGTCATCTTCACCCTCTTCCTCCTTCTCTTGTAGCTGCTGAACTCCGTCGATACGAGGAGCAGGGGCTCGGCTTTTGACTTCCGAGCTTTATTTTTCTTTGTGTTGGGGGTATCGGAAGGAGGAGCCCTTCTCATCTTCCTCTCTTTATTTGGCTTCGATGCCTCCTCTTTCCCAGGCGGAGGCAGCCTCATAGCAATGTTTTCACCGAGACCTATACAAAAAGAAATCAAGTTAATAAATAAACTGAGCTCACTGTGGTTCTTGGCCTCCCACCGACCCCTGGCAAAGTTATGCCAACGACGTTCGACATAAGAAGAGGTTGAGGCCAGCTGTCGGACCCAGCCTTCGAGGTCCGGAATTGCACTGGGGAACCAGGGGGAAGCTGCACCATGAAAAGAGAACCAAACTCAGAATGGGACAAAAAAAGATAAAACGGATAAAACGATGAACGTCAGTAGAGAAGTTGCTCTTACGTTTCATGTTCCATTCCTCGGGGAATGGCATTTTCTCGACCGGAATTAGGTCGGAGGTCTTGATTCGGACAAACCGGCCCATCCATCCTCGGTCCTTGTCTTCGTCAATACTAAAAAGTAGCGTCTTCGTGGCCCGATGCTGGAGCTTTATCAACCCACCTCGATAAAGGCGAGGGATGTATAACCTTATTAGATGGTCGAGGGTGAAAGTTATTCCATCGACCTTACTCGAGAAGAACCTGATCAAGTGGATGATTCGCCAAAAGGAAGGGAAGATCTGGCCAAGGGTCACTTGATACTGACGGCAGAAATCGAGAATGACCGGGTCTACAGGACCCAGTGTGAAAGGGTAGGTGTACATACTCAAGTACCCTTTCACGTAAATGGTGATATCCTCCTCAGGGGAAGGAACTACCACTTCCTTGTTTTCCCAGTTACAGTTCTTTTTTACCCGCTCGAGATCGCCTTCCGATATTGAGCAGATATATCGGGACATGGGCTCGCATCGGCCCGGAACTGAAGAGGGTCTGTCGACTTTGAAGTCAGAAGTTAGTTCGACTAGCCCCGGGACACACTCCTCGATACAAGGTTCCACCGGCGTTTTATCACCGGCCGACCGGGAGGAGGAAGATGAAGCTTTTTCTTATCGCGGCACAGTCTTGGAAGTTTTCGCCATTTGATATGTATAGAAGGTCGAAGAAAGGTATGAGATTCCGGTTAAAACAACGGCGGCGTAATAGGCGACAACAGAAGGAAGATGAGAAGAGTTAGAAAGCTGAGGGATTTAATCAAAGCAAGAGTAAAGTTTGAATCAAGGAAGGGGGTGATATTTATAGGCCTGAGGTGACGGTTCGGTGACACTAATGGCCGACCAATGCCTGACATGCATTGATGATTTGGGGAACCGAACCGACGGTACGTTTCGGTCACATCCATCGCTTACGTCACGAAGACGACGTCATGATAGGGTGCAAAGGAATCGAGGCTCAAATCGTTTCTTATCATTTTATTCTAAGAAATGCGGGGACTATCTGTATACGGTAAAAATCGACTATGTCCGATTTTATGGGCTCGTGGGACCGCCTCGAGATTAAGCTTATGATGAAGCGAGCTCGAGCTCGAAGATACGAAGGCCGAAGGATCGAGATTGGGCACGACCAACGTCGAGCAACGGAATAACGAGATATCGACGAGTGACCATAAATCTCGACGAGAATCTCGGAAGTGACGGAACCGCTAACGGCTATTAATATCAATCATGGATTTTATTTCCGAAATTAGAGTTATACCTTATTTAGGATTCATCTACTATATAAACAGGAACCCTGATCATTTGTAAGGGGATGCACTGACTCAGAAATAATACTGCGCTACTCTTTTCTCGCTTACATTTTTGCTACTGTTCTTATTGCTCTTTACATTTGACCTCGAGCCAGTCCTAATCAAGGTCGACATACTGCTATAATACTGGTTTGATTTATCTTTACAGTTCAATTCATTTATTTAATTAATCATTTATCAATTGACATTGAATCAGATCACGTATCCTTAAAACCACATTACAAGTTTAATTGTTACTCATATTTTCGAGGTAAACAGAGCAATTTTTCTGAATATTTTTACGTGGATACATGTTTCGGACTTTCTTTCTAAGTCAAACTTCATTTTTCTATTTTTTAGATAATTTTGATAGAAACAAAGATTTACTTTCAAGCAATCAAATAAGCACTTCGAACTGTTCAATAAATTGGGAGAAATTCAAAAATAACTAGATTTACAAGTGGTCATTCAAAAATAGCCATAGTTTCAAAAGTAATTGAAATTTAGCCACTTTTCATGCCGAAAAAATACTCAAGTATATTATACCGGAGTTCCAGCACAAGTATACTGGAACTCCAACATAAAGTACTGGAATTCCAGCATAAATATACTAGACTTTCAGCATAATATACTGGAGTTCCAGTATAATATACCGGTCCTACATAATATGCTGGAAGTTCATACACAGGTGCTCCAATCTCCAGTATATTATACTGGAACTTTCCGTATGTTGGAGTTCCAGTATAATATACCGGTCCTACATAATATGCTGGAAGTTCATACACAGGTGCTCCAATCTCCAGTATATTATACTGGAACTTTCCGTATGTTGGAGTTCCAACATAATATGCTAAAATTTCATACATAGGTTCACCGATTTCTAGTATATCATACATAGAATATTTTTTCAGAAAATACTTTTTAGAAAATAAATTTTTGCATATATTTTTGCAATTTTAAAGAATATTTACATAAAAATCTTATTCTGAATCGAAAGTAATGGATTCAATTGAACCCGTTGGTAACACACTACATCCGCCCTGTATGGCATTGCCTTTTGATCGGACCCGTTGTCCGAATAAGAAGGTTATTCTCAGAACAAATTGGAGCTGAGGCAAATTCCTTAAGAAAGTCTGTGACTATTTGCCATTTTCTTTACACAGCCTGGTCCTCTTATCCGCTACTCTGTTGGTGGTTAACCAATTTCAAGCGTGTGCTTTCCAATATGTGATGTAGTTGTTATCCAGCTTCACAGGTGCGCTCTTTATTCCTGAAATACTGTGCAGGCTAAGTTAGTTCTTTTGTTCCGAATGTGTTGTAGGCACACCTCTTTTATCGTTCAATTATGTAAGCAATTTTACAAAAAAGTTTGCAATCAGCTTATCCTGAAAAGCCAGAGTAGTCACACGTATAACTGGGAGTACCTGCAAAGAGAAAAAGGAGCAAACATATTACAAACATAGGCACATGTTAGCTGAAAAATAACACTTGCTATATTAACTTTTTATCCAACTGTATATACACCAAAATACAAAGGTAAATATGGGAAAAATTCTATGAATCACTTATTTATGAGACATAATTAACAATTTAAGCCATCTGATAAAAAATTAAAGGCAAAACAATATACTTTGCAATAAAGTGTGCATCTCGAGGATGTACATCTATTAAACGACAAAGAGAACTAACTGAAGAAGATTCATAATAAGCACATATGGTCAAGCACTAAACATTCAAGCACCCATAGAAGGAAAAGAAGAAGTGAGAACTCAGTAGAAGCGCTTACAACCCAAACCCGCAGAAACCAAAGTAAACCGAGAAAGACACAAGTTAAGTTGAGGCTTTGATCAGAGGGAAAAGGATTAAAGCAGAAAGAGGAATTTTCTCAAACACCTAGTAAGAGAGCGGAGAAGGAAAACACAGAATTAAGAATTAGGTGCAAACAAAATCTAGAGAACGAACAAGAATAACAGAATTGGTACCTAGCAGAAGCACACATAAGAGCAGAAAATGCAACCAAACTGTATACCATGCTTGTCAAAGATAAGAGAAACAATACAAGAACCAAAAAAGGAAACATAAACTACAACTTTTTTACTATCTGCAAGAATATATGCAAAGAAAACTTACAAGCATGCTATGTTCTGCAGTTCTGAGTGCTCAAATTTTTAAGTTGTAGATTCTATACTCTCTCCCATATTAGCAGTATCGTTGTAATTATTTTGACAGTGTTATTTTCTGTAACAAGCTAGCAGAATAAACACTTAAGTATAATTTGTGGTGTCAGTTTAGGGTATCACAGGTATTACAGAATGTTTAGAAGAGGAGATGATGTTGCACACTGCTAGATCTTTATAATAGATTGTGCAACTGATTATTGCTGGAGGACTCAAAGATCACATTTTAAAATAGCTGGAACATGTCTTTTCAAAACGACGCCACGCAAAAGCTAAGTCCCGTTTACGTTATACAAAATAAGAAAGGTTACAAGATCTTTACACTTAATAAGAGGTGTTAGGTATCCATTTGAACCAAACTCATAAGACGAAATTGCTATAGCATGCCTATGGCTAGAAAGGACAGCAATGTAAAATATTTAATTCACTGTTTCACCGGTAACAATAACAAAGAACTACCAAAAATGACTATCATTAATTCCTTTTCAGCATAAAGTCACCTTTATCTGTATGATTAACGGATGCAAAACAAACCATCACCTGTGTATATTAATCATTAGTAGCAGAATAACGAACTTTTTCAATTACAGGATTTACCTCTGTTGGATTGAATTGGACTGATGAGTTGTGCATGTTTACTATGTCCAGAATTGTGCAAGATGTGTCACACAAGAAAATATTAGTCTTTAACAGGCTCAATCTATTATCCAAGTCGGAGATGGTTTAACAGAAAACAAATTATAAATGTCAAATCTACGAAAACAGAAAAAGGCACAAAGTGGATGCAAATAGTTTAAATATGCAATCAGATATCTTAGATCCATTTAGGAACAGAAATGGAATGCAAATGATACAGTTGCACCATATGGTAGCAGAGAATACCTTCGTAATGGTAGGACCAAAAATATATAGCTCAGAATCAAACTCTTGCAAGCGCGCAACCTCTATAGCATTCCCAGATAACAGATGCACTGGAAATTGGTTCAAGCTGCGCTTCAAGTGACTTCAACACCACAATACCATTAAATCCAGCTCATATAACACATGTGACGATAGAGTAAACAATAATACACCAAGAAATACAGCATCATCTACTCATTTATTTACTGTAATTTTGAAAGAATTTTAACTAAATTTGCTAGCTTGCCTCTGTAATAGATAAATAGAAGAATGTGGAAACTAAAAAGAAATAGATAAGTGGAAGAAAAGGGAGAGTATGAATTAGTAGAGAACAATTAGGCACCACAGGAATAAAGTTAATAACATAGTGCTGACAACATTACAGAGCCAAGAATACTAAAAGTTTATTTGCTCAACTACTCTAGGATTACAGGCACCAAATCCCCTAAGCATTCACAATTATCAAGATAAAAATATGTATGTTTTTTTTTACCTTCAGAGGGTCAAAATACTAAGTAGAAAATAGTGACCAAAATCTTCCACAGAACCAACCGGCCAAAATCGTGATGTATTTCCTTCAGTAAGCAAAGTGTCCAATTGCAATGGTGTCAAATGATTTGAACAGCTTGGACATTTACATTAACACTTATTGTACTTTTTCATTTTATTTTGTAAGTACACTCTGTGCATCTTACTAATAGGAGTAGCAAGAGTACTTAGTCCTTCATATGGAGGTTGTTGTGCTATAATGTGTATAACTGCGAGGAAAGAAACCAACACAATGAAAGAATTGGATAAGATTACCAAGTATAGACGATATCCTCAAATAAGGGTAACGATGGAATTGGAAAATTTTAGAAAGTCAATAAGTCATCCATGTACTAAATAGATTCTTCATAGTGCTTATATATGGATTGCATTGTGAAAACAATCATACTGTGTAGACATCTCAAGCTCTAAAAATGAAGCAAACAAACAAAAAAACGGATAGATAGCCTATGATATTTGTAGAACATTGGAGGAAAAGGATAATTTCAAATGGATGAACACTTAATCACAGAAGTTTGATTGTGGATTATTTAGTAACATCTAATAAACCCTCCTCCTTAATCGGGGTTTGGGACTGGTTGTGTTGTAGTATAACTGAAATACAGGTGGAGTTAAAATTTTGGTTATTTGGTTCTCCACGTAGAGTTCATAGGAATTATAACAAAGTTTTTGGTGGAATAAGGCTCAATATGGTAGAATTAACACTTAAGTACAATAAACCCTCTCAGATATATTTTCATCCGAAGTTGTCAATGAGATGTTTAAAAAAGGCATAAATTATATTTTTAATAACACAGAATACTCTATCAATTAAAGATTCTATCTAGTACCCACCAAGTTAAGTTCTGTCACCGCACATAATTTATCTAAAATCAAAATTAGCCGCCCGTTCTCCTCCCAAGCGGAGCAAGAAATTAAATTGGCAAACAAATAATAAACATTTAGTAAAAACTCTGACTCATTCAAGAATTTCCTCAAACGCCTAAAGAGCAAAGACAACTCCGCATATTAAACTTTCTATGCAACAAAGACCTAGCATCCCAAGAAGAGCGAGGGGAGAGAAGATCGCAGTCGCAAAGGAGTTTGAAGATTGTTAAACTTTTCAGAAGTTGCTAGACTGATACACAAAGCGTTAAAATTGGATGTATCTCAGTGCTCCCCTCCTAACCATATTCTTCTAGGAAAAAACAATTTACCGCCAAGACTATAGAATTAAACCCAATTATTCCACAATCGAGAAATTAAACCCAACACAATAGTAGAAATCTAGAAAAAGGCCTAATTCATTCAAGAATTGCCTCAAACACCTAAAGAACAAAGGCGATGGAGACATTGAACTCTCTGTGCAGCAAAGCCCTAGCATGCCATCAAAGATTAAATAGAGAAACAAAGATGAGAAGAAGAAAACTCACAAGAAACAATGATCCAAAGAGGAAAATTCGCGAAAGTGCAAAGATATGATCAGGGAATTTGCAACAGTGGAGCTTTTGAACTATTGCTAGATTAGTACAAAGAACAAAGCGCTTAATTTGTAAAGAACGCCGCTTCTGCCACGTTTCTCAAATTAAGGCAGAAGGACAATATTACCCTCGTAAAGACCAAGCAGACATGTCGTCCAGGTGCCTCCTAACTCCCCTTTATTAGATAGTAGAATTTAAACTTTTAATTACGTCATATTACTGAATTCAATTAATACTTAGACATTATTATAATAATAATTAATATTAAAATATTTTATCAAAGCATTATCTAATTTGCTATTATTATTATTGTTATTATTATTAGGGAAAAGGCCAAAAAATAATCTTGTGGTATTCGAAATGAATCAATTATAACCCCCGTTTAAATTTGAGTCCAAAAATGACCTTGCCGTTATAAAATTGGTCTAATAATGCACTTGTGTTATTCAAAATGGATCAATTATAACCCTCATTTAAATTTGAGCTCACTAATGACCCTGCCATTAAAAAATGGGTCTAATACTACTATTTTTCTCAGTCAATAATGATTAGTGGTACAAATGAATATTTAAAAACCGACTAAACCGACATAATCGTACCGTGCCGAACCGATTTTTAATTTTTTTTTAAATAAAATCGTATGTTTTTATATAAATCTATAACTGTACCGATAATTATGGTAGATTTTTTATTTTATAAAAATTAACCGAAAAAATATTGAACCGTACGGTTCAATATTTGCAAAATATATATTTTTAAGTCTTTTCAGTTTTTTTAAAGTATTTGTTTTTGTAAAAACTGAAGAAAAAAAATATTTTTTTAAAAATACTTTTAAAAACTGAAAAATATATATTCTGTAAAAACTAGAAAAAGAAAGGAATTTGCAAAATATATATTTTTAAGTCTTTTCAGTTTTTTTAAAGTATTTGTTTTGTAAAAATTAGAATTTTTTTTTATTTAAAAAACTAGAAAAAAAAACTCTCCTGAAGCAGTGGACTACATATGCATTAGTTTTAAAAAAATAAAAATATTTTGCAAAATCTTTTTTTTTTTCAATTTGACGGTTCAATATTTTTTCGATTTATTTTTATAAAATAAAAAATCTACCATAATTATCGGTACAGTTATAGATTTATATAAAAACATACGGTTTTATTAAAAAAAGCCGGTGCACTAATAGTCATTATTCTTTAGCAAATTGGTGCACTTTTAATCACAATGTTAAACACCGTTAGTTTTTTAACGGGTCTCACCTCACGTGCCTGTCACATGATTTCTATTTTTTTTAAAAACAGATTTCTCTGCAAAAGATACATTCTCTTCCTTCTCTTTCCCATTTCTTCCCCCAATTTGCATAACCCTAGTTTATAATCCATCTGTAGCAGAATTAATTATTAGGAAGTAACAATGCTCTTAAGGCGCAACACCGGAAGAGAATCACCTCGGTTTTATGGTGAGTTTCCTCTCAATTTTCATATTGAAGAATTTATGTTGTTACAGTATGAGTATTGCGTTTCTCATCTTGATTTTGTTAAACCTTTTGTATTTCTCTACTCTTGCTAAAAGAACTGTTCAATTGTTAATTCTGCTGGTTTGTTTTTGACAAACAACTATTTTGTATTATTCTTGTCTACAACATTACCTTATGAAACTTACTATTTGTAATTTCAGATTCGATAACCGAGGCTTCGTTTGTCACTGTGAAAATATATCATGGGGGATTTATGAAGCGTATACCAGAGAAGCACTATGTTGGAGGAAACATAGATTACATTGATTATGTAAATGTCGCAAAATTGAATATTGCTGAGTTCAAGAAGATGACAGAGATATGTGGTTATTTGAGTGATTCGATAACTTTTTGGCGCAAGTGTGAAAAGCCTGGTAGTATATGGAAGTTGATCTCTACGGATTTTGAAGCCTCTGCAGTTGGTAAAAGCATCCAAAATGACAATGTGCTTGAGATATACTTTGAACACTTGAACTCTTATTTTCAAATAGACAAAGTGGATTCAATAATTCAATAAAATATTAAAGAAAATAACAAGCTACAACTTATGTGTGAAAATTCATCTTGTGATGATTTTAGTGATTCAGAAGTTGATTTATCAGATGATGTGTTGATTGATTCACATGAGAAGAGGAACCAAAGCATTTTGGAAGAGAGGGGGCTCCTTAGCGACAAAATAAAAAGAAAGATGGTTGACATAGAAGGGGATCTTGATTGTATTGATTCTGAAGACATGCAGAGTTTGGATAGTGATTCTGAAACTGAAAGTTTTAACTTTCCTCGGTTCAATCCAAAGACCGATGTAGATAACCCAGTATTAGGTTTAGAATATACCTTTGGGACAAAGCAGGAATTTAAGAATGCTGTAGCAACTCATGCGATTAAGAATGGAAAGTATATCCAGTGGAATAGGAACGATGGTGTAAGCATGGAGGCACGTTGCTAACATCATCCAGAGTGCAAATGGAAAATCATGGCTTCTAGAATGCAAAGAGACAAGGCTTTCCAGATTAAAACTTACAATCCCATACATACTTGTAAGGAGTGGCATCATGAAAATAGAACGATCACTTCATCCTTTATTGCAAGAAGATACCTCAAAGAAATTGGATCAAATCGGGATTGGAAAGTTAGATATTGATGCTGCTGCTTGGTTATCTGGTAAAGATCCTAGTGAATAGTCTATGTCGCATTTCTCTTCAGATGCTAAGTGTGACACCTTACTAAATAATTTGTGTGAAGTATTTAATAGCATGATACTTGATGCTCGGGATAAGCCAATTGTGACACTTTTGGAGAAATTACGATATATGCTCATGGCGAGAATGCTAGCTAATAGGGAAAAGGCTGAGAAATGGAATTTGGGTGATATTTGTCCTAAGATCAAGGATATATTACACAAAAATCAGATTGCAGCTGTTGAATATATACCGAGAAAATCAAATTACTGGAGCTATGAAATTTTAGGAGCTACAGTTACGGACAATTGGGCAGTTGACTTGCAGAATAAATCTTGTAGTTGTAGAAAATGGAGTCTCACGGGAATCCCTTGCAAGCATGCTATTGCAGCAATTTGGGCTAAGAAGGATAACATTCTTGACTATGTCCATGATTGTTACAAGGTGAAAACATATAGAAGAATTTATGAAAACTCAATTCTTCCAATGAATGGGCCACAACTATGGCCTAAGTCAAGTAAAGTTCCTCCCCTGCCTCCAAAGATTGTGAGAAATAGTAAGAGAGGAAGAAAGCAAAAGTTGCGATAAAAGGAACAAGATGAAGTTGGTGCTAGTCGAACAAAGATGAAACGAAAGCAAAAATCTCTAGATTGTAGTATATGTCACAAGCCTGGCCACAACAAAAGGACTTGCAAGTATAATATTGTAGAAGAAGAAACTAACTCTTCAGTTCGTCAGAAACTACATGTAACGTTGGCTTTTATATTAAAAATGATTTCTCATTTGGTAAGCCTAAACTAACATAAAAGTTGTATGTATTATTTTTTCAGGTTAGAAGAGGATATGATGAAGTGGGTCATGGAGAAGTGGAACATGAGCAAAATGGGACTGGTCGAAGTAGAAATTGGACCAGAATTTATTTGGGAAAGTTTTCAATATACACAAAAAAATGACATGCCTTTTGAAGTTTAACAGATTTTTTGGGGTAAAAATGGCTCATTCTTTATATTTACTTGCTGGAGCATTTATGCTATTCTCTATTATCAGTTTTGTACTTTTAGAATGAGTTTCTAGTAAGTTTATGGTGTTTTTTGGGTGCACTGCAGGTGCTTGAATGTTGCTGATTTTTAAGGTGGTGCAGGAATTTTTATTGCTGTTCTGGTTTTGTAAGGTAGTGTTGGAATTCTGTTATTTTTTGAAGCTGGTGCTGGAATTGTACTGCTGTTTTTGAAGTTGGTGCTGGAATCTGACTTATTTTTTCTAGAAAATGATTGTTGTTTTTGCTAATCTTTTAGGCCGGTGATGAAACTTTGACATTAGTTGCTGTTTTTATTGGTTTTTGAAACTGTAAAACTGCTGCTAAATGCTAAAAGATGCTGATGGATTTTTTTCCTTATTATAATTAGTACAATGCACCCACATTTTTTATGTCACAATAACATTCATCTTTCATTCAGTATATAATCAGGAAATGCTTCACAAGCTTTCCATAAAGTATAAGTTGATACTTAAAATTGAGTAAGAGAAATCTAATATTTAACAGTCCAATATCATAACAGATATGGAAGACAAAACCTGTTGTCTAAGCCAAGCGAATCATTTTGTCCAAGTATTAGTTTTTGTTGTCGATGCTTAACGAAGTATGACCAGTTATAATGAACTAGAATCATTTTATCAAAGGAAGAAAACGTATCTTTTGCAGAGAAATCTGTTTCTTTTTTAAATCGAAATCATGTGACAGGCACATGAGGTGAGACCCGTTAAAAAACTAAAAGTGTTTAACATTGTGATTAAAAGTGTACCAATTTGCTAAAGAATAATGACTATTAATGCACCATGTTAAAGAATATGTATGGTTTTAAGTGTAAAGATATAAATGAGGTATGAATTTGGGCTTTTCCTCCATCTACCACATTCAAATGTAATGAGCTATTCAATTTTTCTCCTAAAAGTCAAAGCAAATATTGGATGAAAATTGCAATATTTTTGGATAAATAGATTCTAAGGGGTAAATTCTTTTTATTCTTGAGTCAATCAACCAAATAGTGTGAATGAAGAGCTGAAAATTTAATTTGGAACGACAGTTGGAGCGTAATGAATAATAAAACTTTTACTTTCCTTTTAGATGCATCTTCAATTATCGTTTATAGTTTTGAGGATCTCAGTCCGATTAATTTTATTGTAAGTTATAAATTGTGTTAATGTAATACTTTGTTCCAACACTATTCACTACCCTATCTAATGTATTTTATTGTTCAAAAATATATTTGTTGCAGATCTGCAAGAGGCGGACCTACCTTAAGGTTAGGGGGTCACCGGAATCCGTTAGCCTCGAAAAAAATACTTTATATATATTGGGACCCGTTAAATAATTTATCTGGCCCCCTCGATAAACAAAAGCAAGGCAGACGCGTTGGTTTTGTAGCTTGCTCAAGCACTTAATTACTTGACGGATCCGGGTTAGAAACCTGTCTCCTGCTCTTCCTTTTTAAAATTACTTAGGTCAACTGATTTTTTATTTTATTTTTTTGAATTCTTTAATACTTGTACACAATAGTTAACATGAAGTCTTTTAACTTTTATCCTTTTCCAAACTAAAAAACAAAACCAACGCCTCCTCCTTTCTCCAAACGGACGCCTAAACCCTTTTGCTTAAAAACAACCCCCTTTTCAATTAACCCTTTTCCGCTTCTGTTCGAGCTCAAATCCGGCAACTAGCAGTCCGAATCGGCGGCGGCTATTGGATCGAGGCTCTTCTTCAACTGAAATAGTAAGTTTCTTTGAGTAAAATCTTGATTTTATTTGAGTAAGTTTTTTCTTTCTTTTGAAAATATTAACTTAGCAAAGTAATTTGGTATCAAAATTTTGCTTTTCCTTCGGAGGTGGACCTACCTTAGGGTTAGGGGGTTACTAGAACCCGTTAACCTCGGGAAAAGACGGACCTACCTTTGAAAATTTTGCATGTTTAAGACAATGGTGCCCCCGTCATGGGTCCGCCTCTGGCAATGGTAATAATAATAATGATGATTATGGTGGTGATGGCAATGGAACTGTGGTAAAATAGAAGTAATGATAATGCTAAATATGCAAAAATGCATGTGGCCGAAATTTGGGGAGAGTTGGGCTTTATATCAAAATACGGGGAAGAAGTATAGTTTTCAAAACTTTGGCTGCAAACGTAAATAAACGCTTGCCTTTTACAAAATACAGTTCTCTTAGCTTCAATAAAATTGCCGGAAAGCTATTCTCGGATTTGGTCAGTTTGCAAAATAAACATATTCTTCTTGGTTGGTATCCAATTCTTGGGAAAGTTACTAATCTTAACTCTCTTTCTTCATCCAACACCAGCATTGAGTACTGCCCGCAAAGTGTTTGATGAAATTCCTAGTCCAATGTGTTTCCTTCAATCATTAAATACTTGTTATTTACTTGAACAAATTTTGATTTTGGAACAAAATAAACTGTGGGTATGCTGCATTTTGTTTTCAATCCTTGGAAATAATTGAATTACTCTTAATTTATTTTTTGCTCAATATTGGGATAAAAAGAGTTTTTGACATGTGGGAATTGAGCTGAATGTTATGAAAATTTACTCAAGTTTTTTGTGACAGAAAAGAAAAATGGCAAGAGGGTTGATATGGGCTACTGCAGAAGACTTGGCAAAGAATAGAGAAAGAGTTCTGTCTTTGTATAGGCAAATCTTGAGGAGCCTTAACTCACCGGCTTTGCCACTCAACTTAGCAGCTAGGCTTCAAAAGAAAGCTGAGGTCCGTGCCATGTTCATGTTGGGTTCCGAGGAACGATCCCTTCACAACATTCAAGATCTTATTTATGCTGCTGAATACTCTCTTTCCCAATTAAGAAAAGGAGAAGTTCCAAAACACATTCAAGTTTATCAATAAGTCAGGCCAATTTTCTTGTGAGTACAAACGTTGTAGAAGAATCTTCTGCACGTGCTTTATTGCATAGTTGAATAGAAGTCGGGCAATACAGGGTTCATTGCCCTGTATGCATATATAGCATGTTTTTTTCTTTCAGAACATATACATTATGTCCTCTTTCATTTTGCTGAACTTGAAGTCTTAGTTTTATTCTTGCAAAGTGGTTCCTTTCGAAGTTCCAATTTCCGAATGATGAAAAATAAAGCAGCTTTATGATGACAAGAACAAGATATATAATGTGCTGAAGATTAATACTTAAGGGTTGGATAAGAATTGCAAGAGGAAGTTATTGAATACGTAATCGTTCCGAATCTCTAGAATTCACCGAGTAGATCTCAAATTTTTGATAAGGTAAAACCCGAAAGATCTCATTAGCATCTCAAAAGCTAATGGTAGAGAGAGGGGAACACGGGGTGAATGGATTTTAGAGTTACTCTCATTTCAAATTGCCGAGTAATTGGGAATTTTTCCACATGGCCGAAATATCTTCTATTGATTTGCTTGATCCGCCACTTGGATATGCTGTCGTCTTCTTTGAAAGTGAACTTTGTGGACTATAAAAATGGATTGAGAAGTGGAGGCGTAATAATAGTAGTAGTTATTGGTCTTTTAATCTAGTAGTCTTCTTTGGTTTTGTGCTTGGAATAGCTATAGTTCATAGGCATGTTACCCTTAGACCCGCTGTTTTATTTGGAGGCTTGAAGCTATTTCTTTTTTGAAATTTAGGGGTCTTCTCTTGCAATCAGATTAACTGTCGTTTAGGGAAGTCTTCATATTTTTGTCACGGTTTCGCAGTAGATAAAAGTATAGCATGAAATATTTAGCATGTTTTGGAAAATGCTGACGAGATGATCAAATGCATGTAAATAACTAAGTAAACTTCGAAATTTCTATTATGAACATAAGCTCCAAAGCAGATAAATTCATTGAAAATTTTGTGCATTTGAACTATATCAGCATCTGCATTTCTCATATTTATAGTTTCTGGTAACCTAATAGTTATTAACTTCTAATGGCTTCATTAAGTTATAGCATTTACCTGAATTTGAATCAAGATCCCCATGTAAGAATATTCTTGTGCATGACTCTAATAAAATGATGGCAACAGTTCCTTTAGTTTCTCTCTTTCAGGGTCAGTTACATGATTTATTTCTTGCAATTTGCAACACGTCATTGACTTCGAGATACTGATGACAGGTTTGACCCAGCTTATATTGATATCTGTTGCAACTTAAAGTCTTGTTGAAGATTTCACTCGAGCTGCATGGGTGTTAAGCTTCTCCCAAGTGGAATCAGCATATCCTGTAAATTGTTAGTCGAAATAGATGGCTGACCATTGATGGAGGGAGATGATCTTGACATTATTCCTCTAGAGTCCATTTACGCGAGGATAGCAGTGTGCTACTAAATTATTATATCACCTTTTGTCCCCTTCAGTAGTTGAAATTACTGAGATAGAGTATAACATTCCTTGTTCCTGCAGATGTTTACATATGAGAAAACAAAGTGAAATCTCATATAATCATGCATCTATTATTTTTTTG